TTTCGGGGTCTCGGCTGGCTTGGCATTGCCCAGGACTTTCAGGGTCTCAGCTGGCTTGGCATTACCCAGGGGTTTCAGGGTCTCAGCTGGCTTGGCATTGCCCAGGGGTTTCAGGGTCTCAGCTGGCTTGGTATTGCCAACAGGTCTCAGGGTCTCAGCTGGCTTGGCGTTGCCCAGGGGTTTAGGGGTCTCGGCTGGCTTGGCATTTCCCACGGGTTTGAGGGTCTCAGCTGGCTTGACATTGCCAACAGGTCTTAGGGTCTCGGCTGGCTTGGCGTTGCCCATGGGTTTCAGGGTCTCGGCTGGCTTGGCATTGCCCATGGGTTTCAGGGACTCTGAATGTGCATTGCCTACTGGCTTGGGGCTCTCCACTCCTTTGGCATTCAAGGCTTCAGCACCGCTGCTACCATTCTCTGCCGGTAATTTCTTCTTGCTGCCCAGCACCGAACGGAAATCTGGGGTGGTAGGTTTTGGAGGTGGCACCTTCTCAGGCACTGGGGTCTTGGGTGTCCCCTTCTTGGCCAGGACCGAGCGGAAGTCCACCTGCTGGGGGCTATGCACCTTCCTCTCTTCCTCGGACACAGTCTTTGGCTTCACTTGCCGCTGCAGGTTGGCGCGGAAATCCATCTGCTCAGCCGGGATCTCCTTCAGGTCGTTTTCCGACACAGTCCTGGTACTCACCTTCTTCCCCAGGAGGTCACGGAAGTCCAGCTGCTCCACCTCCTGCTGGCGAATCGCCTCCTCGGTGTGCTGCCTTGTCTCCACGCGCCTCTTCAGCACCCCCCGCACGTCCTCACCGTCTTCCTCCTCTGGCCAACTCTGCCCTCTTGCTGGCCAGTCGGGCCTCAGGGTCCCATAGCGGTCACCACCACCACCATCAGCACCAACTCCTCCACCACAGAGGCCCTCACAGCTGGCAGGCTCCCTCCCCCTGCAACCAGTGAAGGGAAAAAGCAAAGTAGCAGGAGGAAAAGGGGCTGGGTAAGACAGAAACATCAGGGGAGAGCAAATCCCTGAGGGTGGGAGGGTAGGGAGGAGGGGGGAGAGGAGATGGGGGCTGGCCAGGCTGTGTTTATAGAAGGGAACATTGGTGAGAGCAGCTCGCTTGCTTAGTTGGGTTATTACATCGGTAATGACTTCAGTAGCCTTATAAGGGTGTGTGCAAAAAAAAAAAAAAAAAAAATTCCCCCCCCCTCCCCTGCTCCCTTCCTCATTCGCCTTCCAATCTCTCCCTCTCGGCTCTGGCAGCTTCTGGCTGGAGGATACAAACAATCCAAGGCTTCGAGGCCGGGCTTGCAGGGGCCAGGAGGAAGCAGGGTGGCCACAGAAAGGTGGATGGGTGGGTGGATGGGTGGGTGGGTGCGTGGGCAGTGGAGCGGGCCTCACGGGGCAACTCCGGAGCACTCACCGTGAAAGGGGTCTGGCAGGGCTGGTCTGCAGCATCAGTGACACCTGGCAACTGCATTCACCAACCCGGTTCCTGAAGAGTTCAAAGGATCAGTGAAGATGAAGAAGCTTCTGGGCAAAGGGGCTGCTCAGCCTAGGGCTGCGAAGAGGGCAAGGCCAGCGTGGACTCAGCTACAGGCTGGCGGGCCACCAGGGAAGATGGGTCTCGCGGGCTCAGTTGTGACCCCAACACTTCCACCCCAGATTTAGATTTAGGGTCTGGCTCCCTCACCCTGTGTTTTCTTAACTCTTGTTTAAAATGAAAAGAAAAAAGAAGCTTCTGCATAACAGGTAAGATAGGCATCAGAAGTAGGAATGTTCTATCCTCTTTTCCGTAAGTATACTGATTGGACAATAAAAGGATAAAAATAAAGGTGAAAGTTGCGGGGTCTGTGGTGGAGCTGCACAGGCTGGGCGGGAGGCTCTGGTCTGCCTGTCGGGTACCCTGAGTTGGACTTCATGTTCCCCTAACACAGAGGTGGCCACTTCCTTCTCCTGCTACCTCCCCTTCTCCTGCTCGTGAAATGAAAGCCCTCTTCTCCACCCTATCCATCTGCCAATGCCCTTAGACCAGATCAGAGCTTTCTGTATTAGAAACCTAATAAGTGTCTCCTTACATGGGTGACCCATTTTCTTCTCTCAGGTGGGGAGGGCCCCGGATTCCTCAGGTGTGTGAAACCCACCCCCATGAGGTGTATACAGCTCAGGCCCCCTCTGCTCAGGGTAGAGGGCTGCACCAAGCTTGAGTGCAGGGGCTGTGTGGATTTGTAGCAGATCATCCCTCCAGCCCCACCAGGCTGCCACCTGGTGGTGTGTCTGAGCTTGGCCAGACCCGGTGGGGAGGGTGGGGGGTGGTGGTGATGTGCAGGTGTGTGAGGGCCAGAGGACTCTTCAAGATGATAACGACTGTATTGTTTCATGGCGCCCTCCAACTTCTACACACATTATCTTTCTTGCTCCTCCTGACATCCCAGCGAGGTGGATAGCACAGAGATACCCATTCTAAAGAGAAGGAAAGGATGTTCAGGAGTTTTGGGGTGGCAGTGCTGGGACTGCCAGGGTCTCTGAGTGCCAGCGATCACATCCCGCTCACTCCCCGGGACTGGGAGTCCAGAGTCCTTACATGGCCCATCTCATTTAATTTTATGACGGCTCTGTGATATAGGGGTCAACTCCATTTTTTATGTGAGAAAAATGAGGCTTATAAAGGTTAAGTACTTTGCCTCAGCTCAGGGCTAACCAGTAGGGCAAAGGGTTGGGATCCAGGTCCACCCAAATCCAAGTCCTGTGGCCTTCCTACTCCATCATGCAGTGCTCATCAGTACAAATGTATTCTGGGATATGTGTGTATTTATGCATGTCTACATGTATATGTCTATATCAACCACACACACATATACACACGTATGTGGGGTCTACGTGACAGGCCCTGGCACATGCACACTCACGTTTGGGAATATTTGCATGCATGTAAATCATACCCACATGAACAGATCTCACTCTGCCTGGCCTCCCTCCTAACGGAAGTCCACCTCTGGTCAGATGCTAGTAGCCTGTGGCATGGCAGATAATTCTCAGGGGTCCTAGGTGTTGCCTGCGACCCACGTGCAGCAAGGAGAGGTTGATCTTTGCCACCTCTCACCTGATGGGGTTCCCTCTTTTGTCTCTCTCCCAGTGCCCTCATGCTGCCCCAGGCTGTGCCAATGCAGATACCTTCCTAGTGACCTTCACTCTTTCACTCCTCGAAGCTCAGGTTCTCCTTGTGACCAGGAAGTTTTAGGAACCAAGGTGCTCCTCTGCTCAACGAACAGCAATTGGGGGCCTCCTAAAAGTGCTAGGCCCTGGGAAGGCCCTGAGGGCTCCTTGAGAACTCAGCACTCACACTCAGAAAGGCTTATGGAGCGGGGGTCAATTTGGAGGCTATCCACAGGAGGCCATTATGGGGGTAAGGCTCAGCGCCCTGGCCCCCTGCATCTGCCAGGCTTTTCCCAATTTTCTTTCAAGCTCAGGGTTGTGGTGCCTCGGGATGGTGTGGGGCAGGAGGACAAGGCGCTTAAGGATTGTATCTTCCGGTAGATCTTTTGGATATCTCCTCATAGAACACAATCCAGATGCAAAAATCAGGAGAGATACTGACCAGATGGCACTGTCTGACCCCCGGCAATGTCTCAGAGGTGTTAAATGGTGGGAGTCACAACCTTTGAGCTGGAATAAGTTATATCTCCCCTCAGGAAAAGCAGATAGGAGCTTCTGGTGTTTTCCATTACCTGCTCTCAAGGAGGGAAGCACAGACAAGGATAAAGCCCCGTAAGGCATCTTGCCCAGCCTGCCCCCAGGTCTCACTCTGAGGCTCCCTGGGCAGTCTGAAGGGGATAGAATAAAGGTGAGGAACTTGAGTACCATGACTGGCCCACTAAATGGATCATTGCTGTTGAGGCAATTCTGATTCACAGCGACCCTGTAAGACAGAGTAGAACTGCCCCATAGGGTTTCCAAGGATGTAATCTTTATGGAAGCAAACTGCTACATCTTTCTCCTGTGGAGCAGCTGGTGGGTTCGAACCACTGACCTTTCAAGCACCTAACTACTGTGCCACCAGGGCTCCTTGGGGAGTAATTAGGAGGTAACTATTTCTGCAGCCATAAACTTAAATCTCTGCTGGGCCTTCAACATCTGCCCAAAAGCAATGAAGAGAAGGCTGAAAGGGACAGGAAAAATGGGCAGATGGAAATGGGGAACCCCGGGGTGGGGAAGAGGAGAGCGTTGACACATCACGGGGATTGCAACCAATGTCACAAAACAACTTGTGTATAAATTGTTGAATGAGAAACGCATTTACTCTGTAAACTTTCACCTAAAGCACACACACACAAAAGTAACATATCTCAATAATTTTTATATTGATTACATGTTGGCATGATGATATTTTGGAAATACTGGATGCAATAGCATATATATATATACATATATATATATATATATATATAAAGATGAATCACAGGTTCATTTGGAGCCTCCAAAGGTCAGAGAGGCTTCTCTCTTGGGACCCAGTGCCAGATAAAGGAACCAGCAGGACAAGCCACAGGGGCCATCTTTGGCATCCGTGAACACCCAGTTACAACATGAAGTCTGGGCTGAGGATGAGGTTCCCCAGCCCAGGTGCTGCCTCAGGATATGGGATAAGTTGTGCCTTTCATAAACTAACAATGCCCTTTGTTGCCCCAGCTTCCCAAGCCCTGAATAGAAGCCCAATCTTTGGTTACAAAGCCTTGGGCCCCCTCCCACTCTCCATCATTCACTTCTGGAATGAATTTCATATGCAAAATTAGTTTAAAGAACTAATTTCCTGGCAAGTATCAATATTTCCAATATTTCAATTGGAATTTGACCTTTCCCCGTTTGGTACAGGAGACAGGGACTGGGAAAGGGAAGATAGGTAAAAACTCCCCACCCATAACTACCCCACAACTTCAGCAGGGACAGGACCTGCGTTCTCCTCTCCCACCCCGCCCTCCAGGCATCCTCCTTGAAAGGCATTCTGCCCTGGATCTGACTTCTGTCAGGATGAGAAAACCTGTAGAACAAGGTCCCTGGCAGGCCTGGCACATGCTCCCCAGGAGACCTTACCACAGACTTGCTCCTTCTTAGCTGGGGACAGAGCCAAACCAGGGCAACAGCCTCCCAAAGGAATGAAGAGGCTGGACTTTGGGGAGGGAGAAAGAGGCAAGGGCTGCGTGGGTGTAGAATTCCATATAATTTCCCAGGTTCCTCAAGTTCCCAGTGCACTTGAGAGAAGCGCCCTATGCTGGGTCTCAAGGAATGGAAGGGCACGTGCATTAAGCACGTAATGGACAGCTGGTTTTTCAAGCCTGGGCTCTGCTACTCGCCTTTGGGTGGCCATGAGTAAACCCATGACCCTGAAGCCTTGGTTTCCCCCATTATTAAATGAGGAGGTGGCGAGATAGTTTCTGGAGTCTGTTGCAGCTGGGTCAGTCTCTGTTTTACAACTGTCCCCTCCCTGGCTGGCCCCAGTCTGCCTGTTACCTCGGGTACAGCCCTTCACTCTGGCCTGGTTCTCCTCCCACTGTCCTTTGCTTTGCTTTTCCTCTACTCTTTCTTGCTCAGCCTGTCCAGCATGCCCTCAACAGCCAAACCTTTTCTCACTTGCCAAGCCTCTGTCTTTCTTTTTTTTCCCCCCAATATCCCACTAAAAGCTTCTCTTTTCTAGGCTGTCTGTCTTGATTAACATGAGTATGGTCTCAAAGTACTCCTCCTTTCATACAGACAAGCTCAGCAGCAAGTATCTCGACATATAATCACCTTCCATTATTTGTCCTAGCCTAGGGGATTAACAGGATATATTCTCTCTATTTTGGTGGCAGATTTGCCTTCCTGATAATAACTGGTTCAAGCATAAGGCAAAGGCAGTTGATGTGTTCTGAGCATACTGCTCATGGTAGTAGGGGAACCAGCCGGCCCAGAGCCATCCCATCAGCTGTCCACAGATGTGTCATTGAGCTCTGTTAAAATCCGTCGAGCCCTGCCTAGATCAGCAACATTGCCTAGCAGACCTGTATACTCCTAAGAAATAATAAATGGCTATTTTTTAAAACCACTAAGTACTCAGGAAGGAGCACTGGTGGCGCAGTGGTTAAGGGCTTGGCTGCTAACCGAAAGGTCAGTGGTTCGACCCCCCCAGCCACTCTGCAGGAGAAAGACATGGCAGTCTGCTTCTGTAAAAGATTACAGCCTTAGAAACTCTATGGGGCAGTTCTACTCTGATCTATAGAGTCACTGTGAGTTGGAATCAACTCGACGGCAACAGATTTTTTTTGTTTTTGGCTGAAGTACTGGGGAGGGTCCCTGGGTAGCACAAATGGTTAAACTCTGGGCTATTGACTGAAAGGTTGGCAGTTTGAACTTACCCAGAGGCACCTTGGAAGAAAGGCCTGGTGATCTGCTTCTGAAAGGTCACAGCCTTGAAAACCCTAAGAAGCAGTTCTACTGTGTACACATGGAGTTGCCATGAGTTGGAATCCACTCAATGGTAACTGTTATTTTTTTTTTTTAAGTATTGAGGTGGTTTGTTACGCAGCAAAAGCACATACCCACAAAGGACCCAGGTGGGTGGAGTACATACTGGGTTTTGTAATTACTGGAGGCACAAGGCTCCATCGTGGCAGCAGCCTTGGCATGCAGCTACAGAGCTATCTGTAGCTCAGAGCCTGGAACATGGGAACGATTAAACCCAGGAGAGAAGCCCCTGGAAAGTGGCCATGCACCTGAGCCTGGGCAGGTCCAACTACCCTCAGGAGGCAGCACAACCTCCCATGTGCAGGGTCAAGGTGCAGTCAAGGGCTCTTCTTCAATGCTGACACCAGCCCTAGCACCCAGGGCAGGCATTCTGTCCCCATCAATCCAGGGTCAGCAGGGAATTTTAAAAGTTGGAAGGACTTGATCACTTCCATTTAACAAATATCTACCAAATGCTTACTATAGGTCGGACACTGTTCTGGGCACGGGGAATATAGCAGATGCCTTCATGGAACTCGCCGTCCCAGGGTAACCTACTAAGACCTTGAAAAGGTGGAAAAAAGGAACGGGATTATTAACGTTCCTGTGGTGGTTTTAAACTATCCACACAATCTTTGAGACTCCTCTTTTCAAGGGATGAAGCTTAACTCCCCTCCCCCTGAGTGTGGGCAGGACTTAGTGGCTCACATCTAGTGAATATGGCAGAAGCGATGCCATGTGGCTTCTGAGGGTAGGTCATTAAAGACATTCTAGGTTCCGGCTTGTTCTCTCTCCTGGATCACTTGCTCCAGGAAAAGGCAGCTGCCAGGTCATGACGACGCTGAGGGAGCTCTGTGGTGTGGTCCACACGGCAAGGAGCTGAGGCCTCCTGCCAACAGCCATGTGAGTGAGCCATCTTGGAAGATCTTCCAGCCTCAGTCAAGTCCTCAGAGACTGCCACCCCTGCTGACATCTGGACTACCTCTTCATTTAAGACCGTGAGCTTAAATCACTCAGATAAGCTACTTCTAAATTCTCAACTCACAAAAACTGTGAGATAATACACATTTGCTGTTTTAAGCCACTAAGGGTTGGGGTAATTTATTTATGTAGCAATAGTTAACAATGTACTCCGACTATCCTCCCGCTTTTCCAATTTGAATCCATTCTTCCCTCCTTCATATTTTCCATACTTCCGATAAAGGGGGAACAAAATCTAGGGTGAACTAAAACATGAGACTCTGGGGAACTGAGCTCAGAAGGAAGGTTCTCAGTAAATGTCGCATTGAACGAGAAGAAACAAACGCTTGTAGCAGCACTAGAACTGCACTTCCTTGACCTTGAGGCACAAGCCCTACATTAGTTTGTGCTTCCTCTGGCTTCCCAGTCCCAGGTTAGGCAAGCTGGGAATTTGGGGGGCAGGGGTTAAGGGAGGTTGGCAGGGCATGCAGACTCACTTGAGCAGGATCTCGTACTGGCCGGCGTGCCAGGGCTGCACATTCTTTAGAACCAGGGTAAACACATCCTCGTTCTGCAGCACCTCAAAGTGACCGCTGTCTTTGGAGAGGGCTTTGCCATCTCGGAGCCAGTGCACGGTGGGAAAGGGGTCACCAGCAATGGCGCAGGATATGAGGACGCTCTGGCCCAGGGTGGCTGTCACCGAGCGAGGCTTGCTGATGAACCAGGGCTGGGTGCCATCCTGAGGCTCTAGAAGTTGGCAAAGGGTAGACTTAGAGAGAAGGAGCCCTGGTGATGCAATGGTTAAGATCAGCGGTTCAAACCTACCAGCTGCTCTGTAGCAGAAAAGACCTGGCGATCTGCTCCCATAGAGATTACAGCCTATGAAACCCTGTAAGGCAGTTCTACTCTGTCACATGAGGTTACTATGCGTCGGAACCGACTTGATGGCACCCAACAACAACAACAGAGTTAGGCAGGAAGGTCTTTCAGCAGACAGTGTCAACTCTCAGGGTTTAAAGAGAGCGGGATACCCAAAAAATAGCCTGTCAGAAATCACTTCTATTGGGTATTCAAATACAGCACATCCTTCTTGTTGCTAGTCTGTCTTGGTTACATTCTCAGAGGGTAATATTAACATGAAGTTGCACATCCAAAACAAGGGCAGGCAGCTCAGAAGGTACAGGGGACACTGGGCTGGACTCTAATGATCTACATCAGATGCATATGATTAACAGTTCCACTTGCTTTATGTATGCTTACCTTGCCTCTCTTCTTAACTATAAATTCTCTAGAGGCAAGGACCCTAATAAGCTCATGATTCACCTCAAAGTGCTGTCACTGCCAAATTGTTGGGAGCATTACACGATTTCTGTCTTAGCACTCTGTAGCTTGTCACGAATAACCCAGAGGGCGCAGGGACTTACAGAAGACAGAGAAGGACAGCCCCACTCAGCCAGAGCTTGAGGCATAGGCTAGGAAGCTGGCCTCTGGGGCTGGGATGGGACTAGGGGAGACGAGGGTCCACAGTGGGAACAACGCAGGCTCACATGGTTTCCTCACCTCCAAAGAGTTTATGGAAAGGTCAGCCTCACCTTGCACCATGAGCACGGCCTGCGTGCGGACCTCTCCTGCACTGTTCCAGGCTTCACAGGTGTACGTGCCCGTGTCCTCTGGGAACACCTCCTGGATATAAAGGCTGTGGTGAGTGCCCTGCTGTTCGAAGTGGAAGTCTTCCGACTCCTGGATCTCCTTCCCGTTGTGAAGCCAGATGACCTCAGGAGGCGGGTTCCCTGGACCAGGAGGAAGGCGAGTGTGAAAGGGGTAGGGGGACTGGTCAGGGAGGTACATCCCTGGCCATGTGGCAATTCTGCACTCAATACTCTACTAAATACTGTACTAAGCTCTCTATGCTTCAGCTTCCCCATTGGTATATATATACATATATATATATATTTTTTATACCATTATCTACCTTATGGGTTTGCTGAGAGGATGAAATGAGTTGATACAGCACCCCCTAGCAGCCTATTAGAGTAGCAGCTCACAACAGCACTTTGCACAAAGAAAGCACTCCAGAAACATTAATTATAATTATTACTTAACAACTGGTTTGGGGAAACTAGAAAGAATCCAGAAGTGAAAAATATGATTTCAGAGATGAAAAAGAAGAGCCACGAAGAAAGGTTTTTCAAATTAGAATTCATCATGCTTGACAATACCAAGTGGTAACTGGATGACTGGGTTCAAGCTAAAGTATTTTCTGCTCTGCACTGCCTCCCACAGCACATCCAGCCCACAAAACAGCAAGCCATGTGGCAGCTCCCCTGCCAACTTTCACCATAAGAAAATCAGTATTTCTCGTTGCTACCATACAAATGTAGTGCCCAGCTAAAGATGGGCACCAGCTTGCATAGGCTTTGGTGGATAGAATTTTCAGATTTTATGAAATTTTTTTTTGCGGGGGGAAGTTTCTACGAATTTTCTGGGGTATAAAACAATGGCCACCTGTGAGGGTTTTCTCTGCACTAAGAGTTGAGCAATTAGGCTGTGATTGCGGAAGGATAAGGGGTTAGTGGTGGTTCAGTGACAGAATTCTCACCTTCTGTGTGGGAGGTGTTGTTAGTTGCTGTCAAGTTGATTCCGACTCATTGCAACCCCATGAGTGCAGAGCAGAACTACTCCATAGGGTTTTCAAGGCTGTGACCTTTCAGAAGCAGATCACTAGGCTTGTCTTCCGAGGTGCCTTTGGGTGGGTTCAAACCACCAACCTTTTGGCTAGTAGTCGAGCACTTAACTGTTTGCGCCACACTGGCCAATGCACCTCATGCACAGCCACTACCTGTCTGTCGGTGGAGGCCTGCGTGTGACTATGATGCTGAACAGGTTTCAGTAGAGCTTCCAGACTAAGATGGACTAGGAAGAAAGGCCTGCTGATCTACTTCCGAAAAATCAGCCAATGAAAACCCTGCCGACTTGACGGCAGCTAACAATGATAACAACAGAGCGAGGCAGATAAAAGTCTGGGACAAGGTAGCAGTCCCCAGAATGGGCTGCTGAGGGAGGCTGTGCAGATCACAGGCCTGGAGACCAGGTCCAGCGTGCCTGTGAGGACTCCGAGCTCTGTGAGTGGCACAGCAGCTGCAGTGTTTACTTCCCAGGCTGTGTGTGGGGGCTGGGGGGTGCAGCACTCTGCCTGGGATTGTCAGATTGTCACGGGGTTGCCTCCAGCCTGCAGGAGCGGGGGGCTCATCCTAGGATCCCTAAAAGGCTATGTCCCCGGGTTCTCTCATAACGTATCTTTACTGCTTCTGCAGTCAAGAGGAATTGAGACACCGGGAAAGCGAGGCCAGGTTGTCAGTGGGACTGATCAGTGGCTGAACAGGGCTGTGAGGGCCAAGAACCACTTATGCAAGTAACGACAAACTACAGGGATGGCCCCAAACACCAGATCTGTGCCAGGAGACTCCCAGGCTTCTCTCCCTCACCTCTAGTAAGCACTGCGGTAAGTCAGATTGGGATGCTAATCACATGCTCTTGTTACCCCTGCCCCTGTTTTAGAAGGACCTCTGCTCCATCTTCTCACCTTACAATTTGGGTAGAACAACTGAGAATATCTTCCAAGAGTCAGGAAGTTCTTACACAATTTGACTTTGCACCAGTCTTCAAAACCCTCCAGCTACATTGTCCACATGACGTTTTCAAATCAATCCCTCTTCCGTCTAGCCATGGTTATCTTCTTCCCCTGCACCACTTAACCCTGAATCCAGAAAACCCTACCCAGAGAAGGTTGAAAAGAGAGGCCAAGAGGTCACCATTTCCTTTGGGTCTGTTGCCTGGTAGCCTCTTGCTGATTTTCTGGTGGATCAATGATCTGAGAGGTCCCTTGGAGAACAATGCCCATGTTACAGCCGTGACCATTTTCACATACACCCCAAGAAGAGAGATGCAGAGACAGACCTGACACCTGGACTGTCATGGTGACCTGGCTTCCATCCATAACTTTGAGATCAGAGAGGCCCTGCAGGAAGACGGGCGCAATGGGCTTGCTGGGAGCCACGGGTAGAAGGTATTCACTCTTCCTGTCACTCTTCTTTTCTGTGGTAGACAACAGAATGTGGGTTGAACATTCATTCGTTCATTCAACAAACACAGATTAAATGATTACTTGGTACAACAATGACTGTCTTAAGGCTCAGGTTCCCACCAGAAACTGACTGCTAACAGATAAAGCTTTGGTGGCCAGGGAGATCATTGAGTCCCTGGGTGATGCAAACGGTTAATGCACTGGGCTGCTAACCAAAAGGTCAGAAGTTCAAGTCCACCCAGAGGCACCTTGAAGAAAAGCCTAGCGATCTACTTACAAAAAATCAGCCTTTGAAAATCCTAGGAAACACAGTGCTACTCTGATACACATGGGGTCACCATGAGTCGGAATCAACTCAGTGGCAACTGGTTCAACTGGAGATCATTCAGAACAAGATGTGCGCTGTTTCTCTGCTTGGCACAACTGTGCTCTTTCCTGAAAGCAGGGAAAGAACCACAGACTTCTGCAGAGCCATGGCTAACCTAGGCTCTGTTTCCTCAGGAGAACTTCAAGGGAAAGAAGCCAATACTTGGAATCTTACGAGATTTTTTTCCTTAAATTTTATTTACTTTTTTGAAGAAGCGATACATTCCCATGGCACAAAATTCAAAAGGTATCAAAGAGTATGTGTAAAGTCTCCCTCCCATCCCTCTCTCCCAGCTATCAAGTGTCTCTGCCCAGAGGCCATCAATTTTCTGTTTCTTGTTCATCTTGCCAGAGGTAGTCTATATGTATAACATAGACAAGCAAATACGTGTATTCTTTCACTTTCTTTTTTTAAAACAGAAAATGATAGTTTACTCTACACAATGATTGGCCTCTTGCTTTTTTACTTAACAATAAATCATGCTCTCTCTCATAAAACATAACTGAAGAGCTTCCTCCTTCTTTTCTATGACTGCAGGGTACTCTACTGCCATCTTAGGAGATTTTAGACACCTCAAATTAAAAAGACATCCCAATACTGGTGTTGGCAAGGATGTGGAGCAACTGGAACTCTCATGCACTGCTGGTGGGAATGTAAAATGGTTACAGACCCTTCTGAAAACCATTCGGTAGTTTCTTAAAAAGTTAAAGGTATACTTACCAAATGATTCATTCATTCTACTCCTAGGTATTTACTCAAGAAAATGAAAGCACATATCTATACAAAAACATGTACACAAACATTCTAGCAGTTTTTTTTGTTTTTTGCAATAGCCCCTATGGTGTGATGGGTTGCTTTTGTGTGGCCTTTCTCACCATGGTCTTGTAACTCCCACTCAAATGATTGGGCAGGACTGTGCAAATAAGGTAATTATGGCCCATCAAAGGGATTGGTCAGTTTTGCCATCCCACTAGGCTTAAAATGAGCCATCCCAGAGGTGGGAAAGAGAGGATTCCATCACCAAGGAAAAAGGGCTAAGAGTGGAGCGTGTCCTTTGGACCCGGGACCCCTGTGCTGAGAAGCTCCTGAAACCAGGAGACCAAGAGAGACAGCAGTAACACTGAAGATGGCGAGAAGTGGTGGCAGAGAAACGGCAGCAGGACAGACCAGCAGGAGATGGTGTAGTGGGCTTCCCGGCAGGAGGCTTACTGGTGGAGTAGGGTGCCTCGGGTCACTTATTGCCAAAGCTAAAACAGCTTCGTAACACTTTCCAGGGCAGGGCAGGGCAGAGGCTGAGGGCCAGAGAGAGGCGTGCCTGTGAGCTCTGCTGCGACGAGGCTATCCTGATGGAAGAACTGTATCCTGAGTGTTCCTGAACCTGAATTGTAACCTGTTACTTCCCTAATAAACCCCATAATTGTGGGTATTGTCTGTGAGTTCTGTATGGCCATTGCAATGAATTATTGAACCCAGCAGAGAAGTAGAGAGTGCTGTGGGAGGGACGATTGGTGTCAGAATTGGTAAAGATAGTGGAGACAGGAGGCATGTCTGACCCCCCCGCCTCATAGGAATCAGCCTTGGGCTGTTGATCTAGATTCTCCCTCCTCCTTGTGAAGTTACAGGAGGTCAGATGCCACCTCCACGCTGGTTTTAGAGCCCCAAACTGGAGACAATGCAAATGTCCATCAACAGGTGAATAAATAAACAAATTGTGATATATCCATACAATGGAACACAACTTATCAATAAAGAGGAATGAACTAAAGATATATGCCATGATATGGAGAAAAATCTCAAAATAGTTATGCTGAGTTGAAGAAGCTGGACAAAGAAAAAGTACATACTGGATGGTTCCATTTATATAAAATTTTAGAAAATGCAAAGTATAGTGACAGAAAGCAGATCAGTGGTTGCCTGGGGGCGGGGGTTGGGGTGCTGTATTGCAAAGGGGCATGTGGAAATGTTTGGGGGTGGTAAAGATGTTCATTTTAAAAATTGTGGTGAAATTGCATGGGTGCATGTAAAATTTATCCAATCAAACACTTTAAATATGTGCAGTTTACTGTATATAAATAACACCTCAATAAAAACTGGAAAAAAAATTCTCTCTCTCTGAGAGCGAGAGAGAGAGAGAGAGAGACAGAGAGAGACAGAGACAGAGAGAGACAGAGAGAGAGAGAGAGCTAGTGAGCAAGTGGCTTGAGATCGGGACGAAACCCAGCTGAGGTCTCTGCCTGCAGGCTGGCCCATTCCCTCCCATTGAGTCTTTTGTGAGATGGATTAGCAGATAGGCTTTCCATTATTCTTGGACGCCTCCCCCAAACTGGGCTTTGAACCTGCCTCAAATGAGCAAATGGGAAGTGGCAGCAGAGTGGCTGAGTCTGTTGTCTCATCGCATGTCACATGCAGGGTAGCCCTGGTGCAGGGCCCGGTGCTCCTCTTTCTCTTGGTCTGCTAGCCAGGTGGCTTTTACTTTCAATACTTTTAGCTTTTGTTGTTGTTTTTGGCAGGGGCAGGGGTGGGAGTAAGAAGGGCTAGGATATCTCTAACTTAAACTCTAAGTTTTGGGTAACAGGACTCTGGTATTTTGGAGCACAGGGCCACAGACACCAGGTCTTCTCTGGTAACTCAGAAGCCACAGGAGTACATGTCCAGGTTGGTGCTTTATAGAACTGAAAAGGGCCTAGTGCCAATTTTACCTCCGAATTTTTATTTGCTGCCACTGAAAACTAAACACGGCCCACTGCAAAGCTCTCCCGGCCCAGCCTCTGGGCATGTGTATGGCGAGAGGCTGGGAAGGCCCACAGGCTAGAAGGAAACAGCATAGGTGGGCACAGGGAGTACTCCAGAGAAGGCATGGTGAGAAGAGCCTGGGGTCGGAGTGAAGGGGTCAGGACGGGGCAACTCCCAGGGTGCACAGCCGGCAGATGGGACTCCCAGGCTCCCTGCTCCTCCCCCTGCTCCGCAAAGCCCCCTCCCCCAGCTCAAGTATCGCTGCCTTTGTTGGAGGGCAGCCTGGAGGCCTTGGCAGAGGCCCCCCAAGTGGGCTTGGGGGCTAGGATTAGTGATGCACAGATGTCGATCCGACTGGGCTGCAGAGGCAGGGAAAGCTGGCTGCCTCGGGAGAGTTGAGGAATTTCCTGTCTTGCGCAGACTGAGAGGACTCAGGACAAAATGTTTTTGCCTCTCCAGAGTACTAGTTCCCTGTTCCGCCTCTCTTCTGGCTCAGCCTGAATCCCAAGCTTCACAGAAGCTCCGGGCAGATGCCGCTCTTATTCCTAGGTGCTGCGGGGACATCAAGAGCGCGTAGCTCTCTCTCCTTCAGCTAATTGACAGTTTCTCTTTGACCCCAATTGTCTCTCAGTTCTTTCCACTGCTCTATTTCCCAGGCGTTCATGGCTGGGGTTTTGGCTAAGCCAAGTCACCCTATGAGTCTTGACCACTGGGGACTAAAGTCATATCTGCACCTCCCTCCTCTCAGAAGTGTTTCTGAGAGGGTGGTCTGGGTGCTGCCTCTCACATCACAGCTCACTGACTGACAGCCCAGTGTCTGCCTGCAGCTGTGGAGTGGTCAGCCCGTGGGGGCTCAGCCCTGGCCTTGGGCAAGTCACTGCCTCTCCCTGAAGCTCAACTTCCTCATCTGCAAAGTAGGAAATAATAATAGTGTCATCCCAGGACTCCGGGGACTTTTAAGAGCCAATGTGTGAAAACACTTTGTAAAACTGTTTTTGTTAGGTTGTTAGGCGTTGTCAAGTCGGTTCCGACTCATAGCGACCCTATGTACAACAGAACGAAATGAGACGGTCCTGCACCATCCTCACAATCATTGCTATGCCTGGGCCCAATGTTGCGGCCACTGTGTCAATTCATCTTGTTGAGGGTCTTCCTCTTTTACGCTGACCCTCTACCTTACTAACCATGATGTCCTTCTCCAGGGACTGGTCCCTCCTGATAACTTGTCCTAAGTACTTGAGATGAAGTCTCACCACCTTTGCTTCCAAGGAGCACTCTGGCTGTATTTCTTCCAAGACAGACTTGTTCATTCTTCTGGCAGTCCATGGTATATTCAATACTCTTTGCCAACGCCATAATTCAAAGGCATCAATTCTTCTTTGGTCTTCCTTATTCATTGTCCAGCTTTTGCATGCATATGAGGTGACTGAAAACACCATGACTTGGGTCAGGTGCACCTTAGTCCTCAAAGTGACATCTTTGCTTTTTAAAGCTTTAAAGAGATCTTTTGGAGCAGATTTGCCCAGTGCAATACATTGTTTGATTTCTTGACTGCTGCTTCCGTGAAGCCCTGTGTTTATGGATCTGAATCAGCATTAACTGCACATGTTTATACACGGTGATATCAGATGGGGGGGGCAGATTCAATTAATCATGACCATGTAATAAAGCTCTGGACATGGAAGCTCCACGGGCTTCCTGGTTGGTGAAAGACATTGATGCGTGGAAGCTCTGCATGGGGAACTCTCCCAGACCTTGCCCTATGGGTGTTTTCATTTGTATCCTTTTTGCTGTAATAAAACTACAATTGCAAGTATAGTGCTTTCTGTGAGTTCTGTGAGTTGTTCCAGCAAATAACTGAACCCCAGGGAGCAGTGGGAGCCAGCATGTCAGAAGTGAGGGGTCTGGGAA